CCAGCTGGTGGTCGGCCTGCTCCGTCTCTGCCTCTTGCCAGCTACGCCTCAGCCGGCGCAGGGGGCGGAACCACGCATGTGCGGCGCTCCTGGGCAGGGAAAGTCCTTGACTTATGATGGGTTGGGTAGTCCTCGACTTACGACTGGTTCAGTCCTCGACTTACGACCGGTTTAGTCCTCGACTTACGACCGGTTTAGTCCTCGACTTACGACCAGTTGGGGTCGCGGCATTAAAAAGGTTGAGAACCACTGCTCTAAGGTAAAACCAGCAGCTCAAGAAAGGTTGGGACACTCAACTTTGCATAATACAGAAGCCACAAAAGTAGGACAACCTAAGTTAAATAAGATGTGAGATAAGAGAGAGTATTACAATGACTGGAGATTCTCATGGGTATCAATTACTGTGCAAGAGGGGGGATGATGAGTTGAGTGAGGAAGAGGAGGAGGAGGTAGGACTGGATGTAAGGACTGCCTTCCTGTGGCCACATCATTTAATAATAATAATAATAACAGTAAAGTTGGAAGGGACCTTGAAGGTCATCTAGTCCAACCCCCTGCTCAGGCAGGAAACCCTATACCATTTCAGACAAATGGCTGTCCTGTCTCTTCTTAAAAACTTCCAGTGTTGGAGCATTCACCGCTTCTGGAGGCAGGTTGTTTCACTGGTTAATTGTTCTCACTGTCAGGAAGTTTCTCCTTAGTTAGAGCTTTATTTAGAGCTTTACTCATTTATTCGATTTCTAGCCCATCCCAATCTAAGTGACTGTCAGTGGCTTTCATGATATCCTATAGGAATATTAAAGCATCCACAAGAACAAGATGACATAAAACATGAAGTCCAGCCAAACCAAGACAAAATAACAATAAGGTAAAAATAAAGATAGAAACCTGCCTGATCTCTTCTGGGATTAAGTTATATAATTTAGCCAAACTAGACCTTCCAAAATAATAACTAACATGTCTGCAAAGTGCAAAGAATCTTTCCTCCTGTCTTAAATGCCCATTGCTAAGGCAGGATTCATAGGTCAGAGACCAACAAGCAAAGGAAACATCTCTTTGCTGAGCAGGTAGATCCTTGCTTAACTTAGGATCTCTCCAGGTGACAAAGTAGTAGTAGCAACACGGCCAGGAGTGGGAGTATAGAAAGACAAAAAGTAAATCTGACTAAGCACAGAGTACAAACTCATGGTCAGACCTATATCGTATCATATATAGGTAGTCCCCGACTTAGGACCACAATTGAGCCCAACATTTATGTTGCCAAGTGAGACATTTTTAAAGTGGGTTTTGGCCCATTTTATGACCTTTCTTGCCACAGTTGTTAAGTGAATCATTGCAGTTGTTAAATTAGTGACATTGTTGTTAAGTGACTCTGGCTTCTCCATTGACTTTGCTTGTTAGAAGGTCGCAAAAGGTGATCACATAACACACACACACACAGGACACTGCAACGGTCATAAATATGAAGCAGCTACTAAGTATTTGAATTTTGATCAAGTGGGCCATAAGGAGGCTACAATGATCGTAAGTGTGAAAAATGCATAAGTGACTTTTTTTAGTGCCGTTGTAACTTTGACTGGTCACTAAACAAATTGTTGTAAGTCGAGGAATACCTACATATCAAAATATATCTCATGTATATTAAGATGCTTGCACTTATCTGATATTAATGCACAGGCAGACTCTCATCCAAACACTTTGTTTAAAATTTCCCATCCCCCATTATGGAAGGATGGGCAGGAAGACCTTCTGCTGGACTAGTATAATTGGTTTCATCATATTACAATGATAGAATCTGATAAAAATCCTTGAAACAATGTCTTCTTTTTAGGTTGCGGACTCCAATGGAGTGGAAAGGGTACACTATAGAATAAACTATGTCATCTTGATCCATAACTCTTCTGGTTCCTTGGAAATCCTAGGAGAAATGTGATGGACTGGGGCTAGGAGATGGTCAACACTTCTATGAGAGAAGAAGTATTGCACCCAGTTTCAAGGAGACAGTGGTACTGCCTGTCCTCAAGAAGCCTTGGCTGGATCAGCCATTGTTATTTTAAGTAATGTTGAGAAGATGGTGGAGCCCCATTTATAGATTGCCACCAAAGTGAATTATGTAGACCACTTTCAGTCAGGACTTAGAATGAGTATGGGATGTATATATTACTGGGTGCTCAGGATGGTTATTTTCACTGGGGCTTGAATGGAGGAATACATTCCTCCTAATCCCAACAGACACTCATTAATATTTGATTCCATTGATCATGGTATCCTCTTGCATTTCCTGCAACCAATGGGGATTGGGACACTGGACTTCAGTGGTTTCACTTTTTCCTGAATGGGCAGTTCCATCTAGTAACAATAGGCGAAGAGAAATCAGGCTGGCTGTGCGCTCATGTCTGTCTCCTTGACTTTTTCACATCTATATGAAATTACCGAGAGGTTATTCATTGGTTCAGAGTGAGATATCATCTGTTTCAAATTTCTACACAGGCTGAGCCAGAGATGCTGTGAAAGTCCTGACTCAGTGCTTGAAGACGGTTGAGGTCTCTGAGACAAAATAGGATGAAGCTGAATTACAATAAAGCCAAGTTACTGTTTGTGCAGGATTATCTGCCAACCCTGGTGATAACTCTGCATGGAGTAGAATTCTATATGCAGGCAGAGTTCAGTTATTCCTAGATAGGCAGATAAAAGGCCAAGGACATATTTGCCCAAATCTGTCTGGTAGACTTGAAGAGGGTGGTCCAGCAACACTGCTTGTCTGGTGATCATTATATATTTGGATCACTTCAGTGCGCTCTACCTGGGACCTTCCTCCAAGAAAAAATCAGAAGCTGCCAAATTTAATAGTTCATGTGATAAAGACCGAGGGCTGCCAAAAATAACACTTGTTCATGTGATAAAGACCGAGGGCTGCCAAATAATACTTGTTCTGTGTTATTTGGATCGATGCTAATAAATTTTGGGGTGCAATTAAAAATGCTAGTTTTAATATGGCTTGGTACCTAGCTAGTTATAAGACTGCCTTCTATGACAAATCTGATTCACCCAGTATGTAATATTTACCAACATTTTCTGGCAGTTCCCTGGAACAGAGACTTACAAGCAAAGTTTTTCAGTTGCAGCCCATATACCATGCCGATTAATGGTTTTGCAGAAATTACTAAACAACTTTGTTCCAGAGAACATTCAAGGACTGAAAAGTGCCTGATATCTGTACCTTTTTCATTTATCATTTATTCTTGTTTTAATATTTTATTTTTGTGGCTATATTTTTTGTGTTGTTCTGTGTAACAAACCAAAAGTCCAGTGTAAATTACAGTAATACATGAATACGCAAAATAAATCCATCCATCAATTACATATATATTTTTTTGCTCTTTAGGAATGAATTCTACAGCAATTATAATATACATGAATCTATTGATAAATAGTAAGTACACAATAGAAGGCTTATTAGGAAGACTATTATGCAAAAATATTAAATATTAAAAAATAAAATATTAAAATACAGATAGAAGAAATGTGATAGGCAACCAAAATTAATCAAGGATGTTTCCATGATGCATTTGGAATTACATATTTTCTTTTCTTCTGTTTTTTTTAAGCCTCTAAATTATTGCTATATCTGACAGCCAGTCACTTCAAATGACTACCAAGAGAAAAAAGCCCTCCTAAAATAAAGAAAAGAACGTGGTACTTTTTTTTTGTTATAGGCATTTTTTCCCAACACTCTTGAACGATTCTCTGTGTTACTATTTTACAGCAAACCTGTAAATTATACCCAAACCAACAGTGATGGTACTGCTTACAGTTCAACTCGGCAGTCTTGAAACAAAATGGAACCACACACTTTTTCTATTTGTTCAGGTACGTCCATCTTATAATGTGTATAAAAGCATACTTATGGAAAGGAATAGAAAAAACATTCAGCTCTTATTTTGGAAAATGCGCCCTTCAGTTTATGCATCGTTTAATCAGGGCTTTCCAAGGTAAACTCAAAAAGGAAAATGAGTTTTGGAATTTCAATGCTTAGCTCAATAAAAAAAGACATATTTGGCTAATATAGAGCAAGGCTGATTTTAGAAATAGTCCAGCATCTCTTGAAAGTAGAGCATTTCCTTAAACTTAGATATGAAAGACTACTAGCATGCTCATACAAAATTTAATTGGCAAAACAATAGACTTTATAATCAGGATAATTATTATTCGCATTCATAACAATGTACATTTCTAGGGATAATGCATTTTCATGTCACTCACAGTACAATAATTTATGCCAGAACTGTTCAGTGCCATTCCTTCACCTGGAAAGGATATCCACTGCTTTTGTGACTAGTTTTAGGAACTGATTGTGCATCTCCTAGAGCAGGGGTAGGCAACCTTGGCTCTTTTATCACTCGTGGACTTCAGCTCCCAGAATTCCTGAGCCAGCCATGCTGACTCAGGAATTCTGGGAGTTGAAGTCCACGACGGCTCAGGAATTCTGGGAGTTGAAGTCCATGACTGATAAAAGATCCCAGGTTGCCTACCCCTGTCCTAGAGAAATACTGATTTCTGCAGGTAACTGCCCAGATCCTTTCTTTGCCTGTAAACAATCTCCGAATCATTTTATAGATCATATTCTGCCACATTAATTCCATGTGAGCATTTGGTTCTCTTGAAGCAATTAAAGACATTATCATGTAACAGGCAACCATTGCTTTGTAAACAAAAGGAATGATAATTGATTCCCTGTGACATGCATGTACATTTGTAGGGATGCCAAGTTTCCTTTAGAACAAGTCGTTCATGGCGAACCCAGACTCCAATTAGTGTAAGGACATACATTTGCTCATATAGTGTTGTCTGCATTAAATCTTTGCACTTCACCATTTTAAAATGCAGTGTTAACTTCACATGCTTAGTGAGAAGCAATCAGAGCAGAAAAAAAGGCCAGAAACATCTACAAAGAAAAGCATAAAGTTGGAGAAAAAGCATTTAAAGTAATCTTTTCTTACCCACAATCTCAGCCATAAGCTCAACAATGCACTCATCTCCTAAGGCCCAAGGACGCTTACCATTGAAATGACCATGGACACCTCTGAAAGAAAAAAAAAGATTGGAATATACACACAGTATTTAAGCATGGTGTTAGCAAGGAGAATATAATACACATTGTACACATGGAAAGGTAGCCCTCCAGATTGCCTGAGGAACTGTCTCACCCCAATGGAATTGCCTCGTCCCACCTGTGCCACGAGAAGGGCCATACGGTGGACCCCGTTGGTCAAGAAATTCCAGCTGGTGGAGTCCAGAAGAAGATCCTTTTCTGCTACAGCATGCCCTATGGCAGAGGTCCCCAACCTTTTGGGCACCAGGGACCGGTTCCATGAAAAGTTTTTCCGCTGCATCCCATGGATGGGGCTTTGCATGTTTGTGCGGACTGGTTGCTGGCATGCCACGGCCCGGTACTGGTCCATGGACTGGGGGTTGGGGACCCCTGCCCTATGGGACATCATGCCCCTTGAGGTGCAATCCACACCCACCCTTTTGACCTTCCATAAGTGCGTGAAGACCTGGTTCTGCCAATTGTCCTAAGGCCCTGATGGAGGCATTTTATACTGGAGGTAGATAATGGAGTGAGATAAGACTCTATCTCTGCCCGTGTGTATTTTGCTCTGCCTCTTGCCATCTTTGTTCACCTTGGTTATAAACCGTCTAGAGTTGCCTCTGGTGAGATGGGTGGCATATAAATTAAATAAATATATAAAACTATTACTACCACTCTTACTGCTGTTGTTTGAAATGCAACAGTGATGGATAATGGATCAATAGTGTTTTGTGCTGCATTGTAGGTAGATAGTTTAATGTCAATTTTCAGTGTTACGAACCGAGTCCAAGTAACTATGGTAATGAAGAAGCAAGAGAAAATATAGCCATTAAGTCATAGAAAAAGCAAAGGGAGAGAAGGGAAGGTGCCTTTTTATTTTCCAGGTATTTTCTCTCCCTCTCTCTCTCTCTCTCTCACTCACTCTCTCTCTTTCCAATGGGAAAGCTCTTGGACCACCACTCAGAATGCTGCCAACTGCTCCATTCTAAATCTCCCCTCCCTCTTCATCGATCATGTGACTCAAAGAAGAACATGTGCTGGTTGTCCATCTTTCCCAGGATACACACACAAACATGAGATGAGAGCAGAAACACACATGTACGGTAGCATATTCACCCATTTGATTACACTTTCTCACACATGCAGACGCAACATATAAGTGCTTACACAACACACACCAATATACATATAAACACACCCAGATAAGATTAATGTATATGAGTACAGATGTCTCTTAGGACCACTGCTAGTAAGGCAACTGGAAAGAATTCCAGAAATCATATTTTCTTGACCATTTTGATTCAGGATAGTCAAAAGCTTCTTAGTGAGGAAACGAAATCTTTGAACAGCTCTTGTCTCCTGTAAGATATACTCAGAATCAGAGATAGTAAATGTTTCAAAAATATGGAATTCACAATACTTAGCATGTTGGACATTGGAACCTGGGTATATAAATTGAAATGTATATAACAAAGACTTACAGCACAAACAGGACCAGTTTTATTCAGGTCAAAATTGCAGAAGTCAATTTAATGAATCTTTTATTGTTGGCTTGCTGCTACAAATGTAATCTAGATTCGTGAACTCCTTTTTCTGGTCTGAGAATAGTATTTGATTTTCAAAAAGTGAGCTGAATTTAAAAAAATAGTGTGGTGCATCATGACAAAACTGAGCATGAACTTATTTCCATTATATTTAATTTAATTAAAAATAATCATTGCCTTCCATTTTTATATATGTAGTATTTGAAACTTGTTCCTTTGAAGATCTGTGGAGGCCAGGCATCAGGCCTTGAATTCAGGACACTAATTTTGTACAAAGCATTGCAATGCCTCAATCTCTATCGGCAAGATCCAGCCATTATTTATAAATGCAAAGGAATCGGGATTTTTTTTTTCTCCCCTTAGGACAGCACTCTGGCAAGTACGATGGAAGAACAAGCACACAAAAAGATGAATAAAATAATCTTTTATTAAGGTCCGTTTGAGCCCTAAAGAATTCAGGCTTTAAAATAGAAAGTACTAACAGTTAGAAATCTCAGGCAGCCATATTCCCCCAACTTTTACATTGATTTTTTTTTCCTTGATAAAACTAATGGTCTCAGTGCCAGAAACATGCATAGATGACATACTTTCTGTGAAGTATCAGTGGAGGAGATTGACAGCCAAATCACACAGTACAATATGCAATTTGGAGCTATGTTCCGCAATAGAATTAGCTGCAGCTATTTCATACGAAGAACATCGTAATTAAATCAACCTATACTTCAGAAAGCGAACCGAATCCCTCTGTTAAGATGTCTAAATCCACGGAAATCAATAAGTTCACCCATGTGCAACTCTGCATAGGATTAAACAGCTATTAGTATTATCAATAGTCAGAAGAGCATCTTTCAGAACACTATGAAATACCCTTGGTGTCGAAAATGTATCTGGTCAGATGGATAAGTATAGAAGCACCATCAAGAAAAACTAGCATGAAAATAGTTGGGGCAGTTGGGAGAACACAAAAGGCTAGAAACTGTGCATGTTCGGGGGTGATGAAAATGACTGAATTCTAAATAAATGGCCACAATGGGAAAATGCTGTTCTCTTACAGCAAATAAGCAGGAAAAACTTTAAAATAAAATGCTAATATTCCAGGCGATTGAAAGCTGAATAAGCATTTGCCTGGATATGCAAAAGAGTAAACAGATTTGGGAGATATGGGGATATGTACATGTTGCCCAATCGCTCTACATACACAGTTTACTACAAATATTTTTCAAAGTTTAGTATAAAGAGCTCAAAAGATAAGACAATGAGTCCTGGTTTCTGTTAGCGCAAACACCCTTACAACTGCCTCTCAAATCTCTGCAATAAACAAAAAAAAAATGCAAAGTGTCATTAACTCAAAGACACTAGGTATAGGATGTGAATGCATACATTTAGCTCTATGTATTCATAACTGAATGTCTAAATGCAGAAATGATGTTAGAAATTATCTTTTCCCTAACATATTGTCATATTAAGCTTTTCCGTAAATCTACACATGGCCAAATGATTGTTTCAGGAAGAAAAGTGTCTATTGGGGGAAAGAAAAGTCCTGGAGTTTTCCTTTCTGGGCTGTTTTGTTTTCTTGAACATGCAAAATATTTTCCAGAAAAAGAAATATGCAAGTACCCAGTTCTCTCACACATTTAACAAAAATAAGCACAGTTCTAAATAATTTCACAAATTTGTGTCTGGGGAAATATTGCATCAGAATTATTCCCCAAATGTGGACAAGTAGTTGAAATAAATATATCCTAACCATCTGTTAGTAGTCCCTATTTATCCTTTACAAAATTCTGGGCATAGGTTAATTCCAAAACATTGTCAACAAGGTTGATCAATGCTTGAGGTAGCATTTTCTCCAGAAAATGACCAGAATTAAGTTTTCAGTGCCATCCCCAAAGTTGGTATGGAAGGAAGGAAGGAAGGAAGGAAGGAAGGAAGGAAGGTAGGTAGGTAGGTAGGTAGGTAGGTAGGTAGATAGATAGATAGATAGATAGATAGATAGATAGATAGATAGATAGATAGATAGATAGATAGATAGATAGATAGATAGATAGATAGATAGATAGCAGTTGCTACCTGATTTTAATATTTTTATTAAGATAGTTGTAACACAATTGCAATTTTCATGGCTTTTGATGGCTCATCATATATGCATGTAGTCATCAATGAAGAGACTCAAACTAAAGCTTGATGCTAGTTTGTGTTAGCTTTTGCTGGTAGGAAAAATGAACACAAATAGATTTGGTAAGATATACAGTAGAGAAAGGAGGGGCAGCAGATGGGTTTTGAAGATAGAGCCTAGGGCAGTGATGGCGAACCTTTTAGAGACCAAGTGCCCAAAAACTGACCCCACCCCCGCTCCACCCCCTGCCCCGCCCCTGCTCCATCCCCACCCCACCTGCCTGCAGGGCCACTCACCGCCTCCAAGGCCCGCCGCAGATCACCTAGGCAGCCGAGCAGCGCCATAGCGGCCACGTCTTCTGCCCGCGCCCCACAGCATCAACTGTGCGCGATGGGGCGTGAGGGCAGAGCTTTGTCTACACTGCCTGGCTGCCATGTCCTTGGCTGGACTGCTCTGTGTGGGCCACACTCAGGGGGCAACTCTCCTCCAGGGGGGCTGCTGGTGAGGAAGGGGTCGCGAGGGAGGCAAGGCTGGGGCAACGGCACATGTGCCCACAGAGAGGGCTCCAAGTGCCACCTCTGGCACGCATGCCATAAGTTCGCCACCACTGGCCTAGGGAAAAAAATCATTAGAAAAGACTCTTGGAAATAGACGGAAGGAAATTTGGAATAGAAGCAATAATTAGCAACTAAACCAGGGGTGTAAAACTGCTGGCCCGCAGGCCGGATGCATCATCAGCCAAACCACACCCACCCCATGCCGGCAATGGCAAAAAAGTTGCGATGCGTCACGACGCATCACGTGACGTTGTGAGTTTGACACTCCTGAACTAAACTGTAGTAGATAAGTAAAGATCTATGGTTTTAATAAGAACAGTACTGGTTGGTAAAGGTGAACTAGATTGGAAAATGTTTGTAATGCTGAAGGGTGGAGGTCAATAACAGAGAGGTTTGCTGAAGAGTGATGTCGGATGTGATCCAGAGAAATATGCTGAGACTGAAGAGGAGACGATACCTTAAGGATGTGTTTACCCAACATGTAAAGTTCTTGGTGATGCTGAACGTAGAAGATCAGGTGTTTTATTAGTCAGAGAGGAAAATCATCTGCCAACCTGGCTGAGAAAAAAAAAAGAATGCCACCAAAATCCTTCAAATTTACAAAGTAGAGTTAGATATGGATCCATGCACACCCGAATGAAGCCAAAATTATTACCTGAAAATCTATATATCTACAGTTGATATACTGAGTATAGAAGAAAAATGTTCTCACTTTGCAATCTGAATGGCCCAGTTTTTGCACAGGAAAATGTGGCAGTCTTGAGGACAAACAAA